TATATGTATATATATATATGCATGTGTCTGTAATGATATAACCCTGTATTCCAATACTTTGCAGGACTCGAAGGGCTTAAACCATACACAAGCATACATACTATACACGTAGGAATAGTTCAATATCAAATGATATATGGGCACGTACTATTCAGGATTTCAAAAAGCACTAAATAGACGCAGTATAACATAACAGGTATATATATATATATATATATATATTGTGTATCTGTTCATGCGTGAAATGATGCACTCACCTTTACGTGCAATCGAGGTAATTCGTGTGTGTCTGCATCGTCGCCTGAAAGACACGAAAAACACAGTGAAAGCCAATAGGTAAGAGGCAATTCCAAGATAGGATTATATTGTATACCAATAGTAACTTGCATCATACATATGTTTAAGATGTAGTAGTATCGTATCGTACATCACTCTCCAGCAAATACGAGGCCTATATATACGTGTGCATTTGTTTTGTATATAGCAATTTGAAATTACAGCAGCCTCGACTATACGCTTATAAGTTCGGATTGCCATCATTCAACGGCAGGTCCCAGACACCCTGGACAATACGCTGTAATGAGACACACCCAGGCCAATTACTTTTAAACGTTACGGATTAAGCAGCATTGCATTATACTACCTGTGTCAAGAACTGCATCTACAATGAAACACACTCTGGCCATACAAAGTGACACGCCCAGGCCTATTACATTTAAACCTATGGATTTAATACATCCGTTTTGAGAAACCCCGATTTTGATTAATCACACCCTGGCCACTCAATACGACGGAATCATGTCAACTTTTGTACTTTCCAGATTAATTAGCTATGAATTATACTTCCATTTTCAACAACCAATTTCAGTTAACTACTACATCCTGACCATTTAATAAGACAAAATCATGCCATATTTATTGTACGTTACAAATTAATTAGCTAGGAATTAGAATGTCTTTTTCAACAACTAATTTAAATTAATTTCTACACCCTGGCCACTCAATAAGACAAATCATGCCGTATGTATTGTACGTCACAGATTGTCACGGATTGATTAGATATTAATTAAAATCTCGTTTTCAACAACTAATTCAAATAAATTTCTACACCCTGGTCACTTGACGAGACAAATGTAGACCAATTCCCAAACATACGTAATGGACGACATAGTGACAAAACTCAATTCCAATTGTTAACGCCCGGTATTAAGGGTTCAGGGTTTTGGGGTTTTAGCAACCTGGTCATGGAACGAGTCACACCCAGGCCAATTCAAATGGCACTTCATGTACCAGAATGCGGTTATAACGAACTTTGAAAACTTTCTCTGTCCAGCTCGACCTTTTCCAATTAGTCACGCCATAGTGACAAACCCTAAACCTTAAAAGGCCAACCCACCACTACAAACCCAAAAGCAACCACATAAATGTATTCCCCTATGATGTGGAATTAGAGAAACCCTGGCTATAAATAGAACAACTTCGGCCGTGAAAGAAATAATATTCAGACACACCTGGACGTTCTATCAGTCCGGTGACGTGGTTCCTCTCTTTCTTCCACGACGCAGGATTCATACGATCTCCAATCAACATTCTGGTGTAGGTGTATAGGTACAAAGATTCTGGTTTAGATGCATTGATACAAAATTTATGGTTCAAGTGGTTAGGTACAATGGTTTTGGTTTAAGTGCATAGGTAGAAAAATTCTGGTTTAGGTGCATAGGTACAATGGGTTTGGTTTAAGTGCATACGTACACGTACACGAATACTGCTTTGAGTGCATAGGTATAATGGTTTTGGTTTAAGTGCATAAGTACAATGGTTTTAATTTAAGTGCATAGGTACAATGGGTTTGGTTTAAGTGCATATGTACAATGGTTTTGGTTTTAAGTGCATAGGTACAATGGTTTTGGTTTAACGTGTATAGCTACAATGGTTCTGGTCTGGGTGTAAAGAGACAAAGATATGTGCCAGAGAAAGGTGTAACGCGAGAGACACGCACGTGTTTATAAAGATGTACTGCCAAAGTATAGCGTAAGCCTAGACCATCGTATGCCGAAATCAAGCTAAAGCTAAGCACTGCATTCGGAATATTAACAGATCCAAAAACATTTCCAAATATGAAAATTAGGATTGAATTTTTATACATGAAACGTATAGGCGTCTTTATACCAAACATAATCCGCCTGTGTATCCGCAAACGGAATAGGGCAGGCCATGAAAAACCTAGACAAATGAAACTACTAAAGCAAAATTGATAGCCAACTCCAATGGAGTCAGTATAACATACTTGGACACATACATTGCCATTTATATATATATATACAACACAAACACACACACACACACAAACACAAACACACACACTCTACCCCTCCCGCGTATTCACATATTGGTGTAAAAGGATGCAATGCAAATCTTTCAGATGTAGAGACCACCATGGCCAAGTCAAGATCATGGCTACTTTCAATAACTTCCGTATGGCAACCGTGTACACGTACACTAGAAGATATACACAAAACAAGCGTATGCGGGACCTATATAATACACCTTCAACACATACCCGGCTGTGTAGAGTCAATGACATACCTCAACTCTGTCCACCCGTACACCCGACCGGCCCATTCGTCCCGGGTTCTGGGTGAATGGAATACAAAGCCTCGCACAGTAGGCACCGCCATGGCCAGATCAATGGCCTCTTCCAAGGACTTGACTTTGCCCAAGTAGCCATCTCCGCGTAGGTTGCCCACCCGGCCATACACCATGTTACAGTCACGGTATATTTTGACCTTGTGCATGGGTTTCTGTATAGCATTGTAGGACAGTGAGTGGGATGTTAGTAGAGACTGCACTTTCATCCGGGTTTGACTTGTGTGTGAGGTTTAGTGTCGGTTAAGTTTAACATGGATGTGTTTGTAACGGTCTGTATGGGATTGCAGGAGCAATTCCCCAGACTAGCGGATGCACATATGGGCAAGGTTTTAGGAATTTAGGGTTCTAGGGTTTTAGAGGAATACTCACAACCGCTATACCACAAGGAGGGTATATAAATACATACACATATACAGACACATATACATATACTTATACATACCTACACACACACATATATATATATATATATATATATATATATATATATATATATATATATATATATATATAATATATACTACACTAACTACTATATTATACTACTACTCTC